AAGAATTATCATATTTTTATTATATTTTTCGCAGCACCTTTCCGGTATGCGCTTTTCCATAGCCAGTATCAGTTCTGGCACCAGTTCTCATTATTTTAACTTGAAACTTGAAATCACAGTCCTACATAGTATTCTAGTAATATATACTCACATTTCATAATTTTTCGGGATACTTCACCGGTACGCACTTATACTGCGAGCAGAACCGGTATCTGCACTTTTCGTCAGAAAAGCGACTTTCAGCATTATTACACACTTACTATAATTATTTAAGTCTCATAATAATTATTAGGGTCAATTATGGAATTATTTCCTAATTCACATAATCAATTAATTAACTTCCTTAATTAACGGTGCAGGGTTTTACAAAAACCCTATCAAAAATCATTGCGTAGGAAGAAATCCACATGGGAAAGTTGCAAAATTTTGGGCATTCATGAACTCGGAGGAGAATTTGGCTTACATTGGAGCTTGAAAGGCATTCCTAGGAGTATTCTATGAATATTTATGGTAAGACCGTATCATTCTCTTCTAGTTTCAAGATATTTGAATTTCTTTGTTTTCATTTTGAAACGTGACTTCAATGATGATCTTTGAGCACGAATTAGGCTTAACTCATGTTGGAAGAAATGCTTGGGAGATGATTTAAACTGTAGAAATATATTAAGAAAGTTATTTGAACCAATTGCATGATTTTTGAAAATGTCATGTTACCTATGTGAAATTACTTGTGTCTTAAGTAATGTAGGTTAGTTGGTTTGTACTGTTTGTGTTCATGGTGTTTCTAGGAGTGAAACAAGTGAACTAGAAGAGGGAGATCAAGCATTGGAGGATTCCATGGTGCTTGACAATGATACTTGATTGATTCAAGTGTAGGTGAGTTTCCACCTTTGTGAAATTGTTATGTTGGATTGCTTATGTTAATATGAATATAGATATATTCATTTAATGCAATTTGTTGATTGCAAGTCACCTTGTGAATAAGTGTGGTTTGTGTTTGACAAGTCATTGGTGAGGATTTCCTTCTGTTGCATAAGGTGAGGACCACCTTGTTGTGAAGGAAAGCATTTGGTGGAAAGCTGTGGCAGGTAAGCTTTCGGACCTTGGGATTTATCCCTTGATTGTTCCACCAAGCCCGTGTGGATTTTGGTTTATATGGTTGTATAATAGATTGAATATAATGCATGTTGTGTAATGCTTATTGTGTGGTGTAAGAGGAATTTTTACACGAGTACGTGGCAAGACAGTTCTTAAGTAATTCATACGGTATGTTGCACGGTTGCGTAATTAAAAGTGAGACAGAAGATGATTTGAAGTAGGGGACTGCTCACTGAAGTGCTCGCTTCAGCGAGCTGTTGAGCGACCAAGCTCGTTGCTGCCCTTGCTTTAGTGAGAGAACAGAGCATTGGATAGTAGCTATTGTCTGGGGAATTAATTGGCTCGCTGCAATGCTTTAGCGAGCAGTGTAGCAAACATAAGCGGATTGCTCAATAAAGAGCTTAATGAGCTGCCCAGTTTGCTAAAAAATGACAATAGTGATGTGGGGTGTATGGGAACCCGATTGTTGTGTCTAACAGGACTAGTATGATATGATTAAACTAGATTTAATTATCCCGCAAATTCATTGGGTTACAATTACAGTTTCAGTTTATTTTGAATACGGTAATTATTTTAAGGGAAATGCATTTATGAATAGTTGTTATGTTAAGAAAAAGATAAGTTATATAATATTAAAGAAAATGAGAGGGCACATTATTCAATAAATTGATCTTGTCTTTTTCTTAATATAACAACTATTTATTTGTCATATTATTTGTCATGTAATATGACAAATGCATTTCCCTTATTTTAAATGGAATGTATAACGTTTAAAAAGAAAAAATTTAACTATTTTTTAATTAAACTGTTATGATTATAACTACACTTAGTATCATATGCAATAATAATAGAACGAAATACGGGGTGTTACTTTTGCCACTACACCTATGGCAATACAAACCTTGAAATATACACTCATTTGCTCGATCCTAGTACACAACCCTCAAGTTCTTATATAGATATTTTCCTTTATTCTATGTACTTCAATTCAATCAGGTATTAACGTGAGCATCAAACTAGTTGTAAATATATTACACATCTTCCTACTATATATAGTGGAGCCATCCTCAAACACTGCCAAAGAAGACTCAACCAATAACTTTACAAAACACACGTAAGTAAAAATATTTTCTCATGTTGCATAAAAATTCAATTCTCATGTTATGATTCTTTGATTTACGTGCAAATTTTTTTTTCTTTTTTTAATAAATATGAAGCTCACCATTAATTGTGTCACAACATGAGAATTTAATTTTCATGCAATATGAGAAAATCAAACTCCATAAACTTGAGACAAATTATCTTACAACGAATATACACAAATACGATAAGTTTTATTTTATTTTATTTTTATCATTTCCTATACGTAACCGACCTAAATCCAACTTTTAGTTTTCAAAATTTTATTTTTCTTGAAAAAAAATTCTTAGCTAAATAAAGTTTGATTGCAACTCTTCTGAAACTATACTTTTAAATTCAGTTGTCGACCTGTCGGTATCTCGTCAGCGACAATGTGACAATACGATCAATGGCTTTGTCACTATTCATTAAATGAGACTAGAAAATGGGGCTGGGAAATCACACCAGCTGATGATGTGAACATACTCTCAAATTGTGTATTTATCAGTGTTTTAAAACTTGGTTCGGTTATCCACTTGATCGAGTTATTGAATTATTAGTTTAACCAGTGAATAGTTGGTTTGAATGGTTTAATTAAATATATTAAATTATATAATAAATAAATTATAAGATATATTTTGACTAATAATTGAAAATAGCCCAGTGGTAAATAATAGTAATATTACTCACTCTTATAAGCTCAGTTTGATTGCCAGCCAATTTTAAAATATTCAATATTTTTGGTTTTATTATTTAATCATCCATCTGGTATAAATTTTTTCAAAATCGATGCAATCCAATTTTATTTGGTTTGTATTTGACGGGTTACAAACCATTGAAAAATTTAAGTCTTTAAACTAAAACAAATCTTATAACTCATGAAGAGTTAAAATAAATTAATAGAAAATAAAAAATTAAAATAAGATAATTTGCTATCAATAACATCCAAGATTTCAAGTCTACAAAATAACAAGATTTCAAGTCACCATATTTCAAAAATAATAAATACATAATACATCAAATCAGTTTGGATTGGATCAATATTCACCAACCAAATCAAAAATTGATCCAATCCAATTAAAATATACTGTTTTTATTTTTGATTTTTTGATTTAATTCAGTTATCGATTGGCACATGGAAGCTGAGCAAGTAATGATGAGAATATGTGTTCGATTCTCTCCAATAACAAGCCTTAATCATCGATTCGCTTCGAACAAAATTATCTCCTGTGAAGGATACTTATGATTTATTCAAAAAAATGGATTTAAATGTGGGTTTCCGATAAATCTATATTGGTTCTTAATTATTAGGGAAGGATAGAAGTAGAGTGAAATCAAATACTTAAAGTTTGAGTTATTTATTTGAAGGTTTGTAACAGGTTATGTTGTAGAAGATAATCTTATCTCCTACACACATATAAAAGTATATGTGATCTATGTGAGGCCGGGTGAAGAGAAGAGAGAGAAAAAAATATGGGTCCACATACTAATATGTATATGTAAGAGATAATTTTATTTGTTACAACAAGAAAGATATTAAACCCTTTATTAAAGGCTTTAATGTTTGTATAATGCATGTAAATAAGTTATCTATATTCGCTCACAAGAACGATATCGTTTTAGGTTGAAAAATTAAAAAATTAAAATGAAAAAGACTATTATAATCCTGAAATAAATTATAATTATAATTACAAGAATATCTTGATTTCTCCCTCAAAATGACGTTATTTTGGGTTCAGTGTAGATAAGTTATCTACATTGACTATAGAAAAAGCAAACCCTTATTTAAATGTTTTAATTTTAAAATTTGAGCTTCATTCTCTTTCCCAAATAAAAATAAAAATTGAACTTCATTTATTTAAAAAATATAAAATTCAAGTTCAGTTTAATTACATCATTTATAATTTGCATTATTTTATATTTTCTTGAAATATTTTTAACTTTATTGATTTAGAATTTATTAAATAGTTTGTGAAAATATGAAATAAAAATAAAAAGAAAATTTTTACCAATAAATAAATAAAAAGAAAAAATAAGCAAAATAGTTCAAATGGTTTGTAGATAGTTTGTAATTAACAACACAAATTAGTCTGTGGATAACTATAAACATTCATTAGGGAAGTCCAAATGGTCTTCAGCAAGGAAAGATCAAATTAAACATTTTTAGAAGCTCAAAAACTACGTTAAAAACTTCAAAACTATAAGGGATCTAATGATTATAGGCTTATAGCAACTTACATATCAACTTAACTACTTTTTTAACGGATCAGTGTTTCCGTTTACCATTCTCAAAAAAAGTCTGTTTAACCACCAACTAACTTGAACCACAAAAATTAAAACTCTAACGTTCGGTGGGGGTATAGTCATTAATCAATAACAATAACAATAACAATAATTTTCTAATAACTTTAAAGTTGTTCCTTCGAAGTGTGCATCAACTTTTACGGTAAAATAATTGATTCCGAGATCAACAGATGTAGATTTCTGACTAACATTTTTAATCATGATTTCTAGGCCTTAAAGAGATTCCTCAGCCCACAATAAGGATCATTAATTATTTTATACCATTTGTCATTCAATCAAATGTTGCATATATTTTCATGAACAAGATCATATGAGATGAATATTCCTAATCAGTTAACAATGTGATTGTTCAACATGTACATAAAAAACCAAGGTAATTAGAGTACATATCACCGGAAGAATCAAGAGGTAAAACGTTGAAATTCAATTAACTTCCTATGAAAATATACAGGAGCACTCTATGTTCAAAAACTACCTGTTACAATGTGTTAGCCCCAAGATATGAATTCAAAATGTGAGCAAAAATCCTAGCTTTGTAGTGAAAGGAATGAAGATATAAACCACATGTCTCAAGTACCATTCATCCTTGGATAATCATTAAAGCTGCAAAGGTAAGAATTGATTATTTTCAACTCAGTCTCTCATTCCCTCTCACACCGGTAGGCATTAAAATAACCAAGCACAACTTTCCCAGTTCTTCTTTGTCTACCAGTTCTTCTTTTCATACTTCTTCTCCTTTGCTTCTCAACAACAGGTTGTGACATAGGTACATAATGAATCCATCTTAAAGGAACTAAAGCTGCAACAAACTGTGTAAGAATTCCCATGGTCAAGCCTGAGTAATCACCAGATGTAATACCAAGCAAAGAGGCCAATCCAACACCCAAAAACCCACTAATTATTGATGATAGACACAAAGCTGATGCAAGAAAAGAGGTGAGAGATCCTTCACAACCCCTTGGACATAAGCTAGCAAATAAAACTGAGAAAGGAAGGAGCTTAAACTGTGCCAGAATTTCTGCCAAACCAGAAAAGCAAAGAGCAAACACCTCATTGCAAATTCCCAATCTAAGATTTATCTGTTTTACCAAAACAAGATCAAGAAGTAGAGATGAAGCATATAGAATCTGCACCATGCCTATCAGCTTTCTCATTGGAAATTTTTTCCAATAACGGTTATAAAGCACAGTTCCTGAAAGAAGCATCAACTGGCCTATTACTCGAGACAGCCCGATTACTGTAGGATCAAGATTTAGACACTGTGTTTGATAGCAAAAAATAGAGCCTGAAAGCATTGGGACCATGGTAATTGATCCAACAATCCACATAAGCGGGTGGGAAATGCTTTTGTCGCTAATAGCCGTGACAAGATCAGACACTTGATTTCTGATATTTTCTGAGATAGATTTCCTAGCAAGATTTTGACCTGAAAGTTGTGGTATGCCTAAAGACTCCTCTCTCGTTGAGAGAGAAACTGCTAGTTGTACAGACAGTAAAAATGAAAATATAACGAACATGGTTCTCGGAGGCATTTTCTGTAAGAAAAAACCACCAATCAAATTGCCTAAGATTCCACCTGCAGCTACCGCCATGAATGTGTATGACTGTAGGCCACCAATTTTGTGCTTCTTGCCATACTCTGCTACAAGAGCATCCTTTGCTACTTCTGTAATGGATGCTCCCAAATTACTGAGAAGCACAGATGCAATTAAGTTGGGAAGCACTTCACGTGCAATAGGGTTTAATGCAAGAAGACTCCAAGAAAGGACCTGCAGAAGAACTGAAGATTGAACCAAATAAGTTTTCTTCTTTCGGCTCCTCAACATAAGGCCAACTTTTTCTTGTTTTTTTCCCATTTTCAAATCCTTTGATATTAATATACACACGACTATTTTAAAAACTCTAATCAAATGAAGGAGTTCCACCTTGTTTTTCTTAATGTCTTTCTGACCACTATCCTTTTGTAATTTCATAATCAGAGATTATTTATATTCAACCAAGTTAAATTTTACTTTGTAAGGAGATTAATCATGTACCTGTCACTGTATAGAATTTGTACAAACAGAAAGAGGCAAGTTGAACATAAGACATGGTAGCTATGAAACACCGACTCGTTCCCAATACGTTCTCGCTACGACCATTAATTCGTCGATACGATACAATATGTTTCCGATACGCATATCCGATACGTTGAAAAAAAAAATTCGGAGTATCAATGCTTCATAGCATGGTAACGTAGGGAAATAGGCATCTAACCTTAATATAAAGCAACATGACAACCTAAAGACGGAATAGCAGAACCAAAAAAACCTTAATATCAAATCAGACTGGTCCAAACTAAAGAAATTGTAAGTCTGAACCTCAGAAACATTGTGGATTAGTAACTTGCTTTATGTTGAAAAAGAAAACAAAATTGGAGATTCAGTCCTTAAAACTCAAGTCTCAAGAATAAGATGGGTTAAGTTGTCATTGATATCCTGTGCTTGGTCTATCTAATTCGATACATTTTCTGAATGACCTCTCAATTCCTGTGACCTTATTAGCTTGTCAAAGATGAGTTTATATTATTATCCTAGTCTCTGCACTTAAGTACTCTCATTGGATATTTATCTCACTACATATAAAGCCCAAAATAAGTAAATACAACATCAACACCAACATTACATTTATCCCAAACCAGTTGTGGTCGGCAAAAAATAAAAGAACCCATATATTACATCAATATCAATTCTAAGGATTCATTTTCTATCTGAAGCTATACAGCAGTTTGATCTCATTCATAAGATGATTAAAAACACTAAAGTGAATGATATTGAAATGTATGGATTTATTCCAATGAACAGCCTATACAGAAATCTAAGTTCCTCCTTAGTGTGTCATTTTTATAACCATTGACCAAGTCCCTCTGATGCTGAACTACTAGACACACAAAAGGAACCAAAAAGCATAAAATAAAAGACACAACATAAAAATATGTGTGTTTACCTCCTATGGAAATGTAAGGGATTCTGTGAGCACCACCAATATAGATAGCATCCGAAAGGATTCCATAGAGGGGCTTAGCCACCATGGGGAGGTTAGCAGAGTTCTGTACAAGTTGTAATGTTGAAGGGTGCAAGTTGAGATTGTTGGCCATGTGAAAATTGAGAGCAAGCCATGGAAAACACCTAAAACCCTGAACCCAATAACCAAACCCACACAAGAGTTGCATTTGTTCGCTGCCAGCTTGAGGAGGACCCCTTTCTTTCTCATACTTCTTCTCTACAAGAAGAAATTGGTTGGTGACTGTGTTCACCATGAATGTAGGTTTATTAATGGCATTAGGATTCTGGTGTTGAAAACAAATGACGGGTCTCGAGTATGAGGGTAAAGATGGCCTCTTTTGCAGTTTTTGGAACTTTGGCATGTTTCCCATAAATGGGTTCTGAGAAGAAATTGCAGGGTAAATCATGGTTTCCAGATTCAGAATTCAATCTGAAAACAAGAGGAGAAAAATTACCAATTTTAATAAAGGGTTTTATGTTAAATATATATTTGACTAAAATTGAAGATAGAAAAGAACAGAAGATGAACCAAAAAGAACAAATAGATTATTAAACGACAAAGGAGGTAAGGGATTAAGGGTGGAATCTAGAAGAGAGTGTATCGGTGGGTTATGTGAAATTTAATAATAAAATAAGAAGTAGTTCTGTGTAACATTCGGAGAAATTGAGAGAGTTCTAGGTTCCAGCGATGACCTTGGTGGAACTTAGGTACTTGTATGTTTTGGTGTGTGTAACTTGCTAGGATTTGGGAACCACGCGCTGGCAACGCGCCAAGATTCAGAAAGGATCGTGACAAGTGGATCGAGTGAGTTCTGACTTGTGAGGATTGTGTGATATGGCTTGTGATTGTGACTGCAACTTTGGAACGAGTGTCCGGTGTACCTAAGATTGTGATTCACAACCGTTGAAATTCATTCGATGGGAAATTTGTGGCAGACGCATGTGTTTACGGTCGAGGATTTTTTGAATTCCGTTATATATTGTTGTCGCATGTAAAGTTTGATTTATTTAAACCTATTAAACTTTTAATGAGATATGATGTTCTATCTATTTTGTTTTTTTTTTCTTATCTTATCTATTATCTTTAATATTATTAGATTAGAATTTCATCTTCTTCTTCTTTTTTTGATCAAACAATATTAAAGATCGGTAAGATAGATAAAAAAATATAGGTAAAATAATTTATTCCAATTTTAATACTTATTTCTCCTTAAAATAACGAGAAAGTTATACTTACAACCTATTTTCGTTTACAATTTCTTACAACCATATCTTAACTGTTGATTTTCGTCAATCAACGGTTAAGATTTTCGCAATTCAAATTTATTAATTAATTATTAATTCACAATAAATGATAATCGTTGATTGACGGAAATCAACGGTTAAGATATGATTATAAGAGTTTGTAAACTATTTGAGTTGTAAATATAACTTCTTCCTTAAAATAATAATAAAATAAGAGGATGTTATATTTATAATCTTTTTTCACTTACAACCCAATATTAACCATTGATTTCCATCAATCTAACGATTATAATTTATTGAGTTATAATTATTAAATTCTAATAAATTGTAATAGTTAGATTGATGGAAATCAATGGTTAAGATTGAGTTGTAAGAGGTTATAAGTGAAAAAAGTTGTAAATATAACCTTTGTCATAAAATAATATTATTTTATTAGATTAAATTATTTAAATAACTATTTTATTTTATTTTAAATAAAGGGGAAGTTATACTTATCATCACAAAAATTTATCACATTTACAACTAATTTGATTATCGTTAGATCATAACTAAACAATTAATCCTTATGATCCTAATTATCACTATTCATCTTCTCTATAGGTTTGACAACCCTCTATTCATCCTCTCTCTAGGTCATCCAATTACACAGATTGATAAATTTATCTTTTGTTCCGGATGGCCCAACAACAGTGGCCCAAAGGTCCAAGCCTAATCCTTATCCCCTACCCACGTCAGCCCTAACATCTGGGATCCGTCCCCAACTCCCAATGGGACGATAACCCCCAGAAGAGACACCGAAATGTCCAGTCTCGGGACCCCAACCTCCAAAGACAATCGTCCCAGATGTCGTTAAAGGGAACTGCCCCCTTTGACATACCTGACACAGCCAGGTGCATCACTGCTATCATAGCAGCGCCTATCACGCCCCACGGCATCTGCTATCATGAGCGAACCCCAAGAAGGGTTGACCCCTTCCTCACCAACCCGTTGGAAGCTCATACAACCTCCTTATAAATAGCCCTCTTTGGCACACCAAAGAGGCATCTTATGTATCGTTATTATGCCCATTTGTATTAAGTCACAGACCCACACACTCATCTTCCATTGTTATTAACTTGCTTCATACTTGGAACAATACCTTCTAGCCTGGTCTTTACCTTAGCTAGAGGTATCATCCATATAGTGACATCATCCCCAAAGGGAACATAGTGGGCTTATAGATTCCAACGGTACATCTTTCATTCTTTGTTATAATTGTAGGTTCATATTTTCTATTTTCGTATTAGAATAAAAAACTCCCCGTTGCACATAAAATTCATATATGGGGCTGCAAAAATTTAAGGATTATATCAATTAATGGTAGGCAAAAAAATTAAAATAATGCTTTTTAATTAAATAATTACACATTTATTGTAATTTTGAGAATAATTACGGATCTATTGCACAATGTGACGCCCAAAAGAGGCGTCACATGCCATGTCATTCCAGTTAATTTTTACGGTCCATTCAATGGCTCTGCTACTGTTGCAAGCTTTGTAATTGTAACGGTCCATTCAATAGCTTTGCTTTGGGTCCACTTTGCTGATGTTACATATTTTGTTTGTGGGAACTAAATCTGATTCAGTAATTGGCAGTCTACTACATTTTCTTGTTGATGTTACATACACTGTTCATGTTTTCAAATCATGAGATTCATGACCAAAGGGTGGATAGAGAGATCTTCTTGATCATATAATAATAGGGAAAAATGTTTATACTTTTAAATGACACAATTTATATTCTTTCATTCTCACAAAGAGGTAGGACCCACATTTTTATTTTATTTTTGTCAACTCTCTCTCCTCCATTATCTATGTCTTTCTCTCTCTTAAAATAACATAACTTTATATCATTTAAAATGACACACACTTTTCCCATAATAATAACCTATCTTTGTTGGGTGGGGGTGCACTTTTTATGTATGTGGCTTTGGCTAAAGCAAATCATTGGATTGTGGGAAGGATGAGGTGTCAACACTAGAAGACTAGTAAAATGTAAAACTTTTGGATTTGGGTATCCAAATCAGGTAATTCTTCTTTTGATTCTACATAATTTTTTAAGATCTATGTAATGACACCTTATTTGATATATTTTATCTCTCACAAACATAATTTAAATTCGCAACAATGAAATTTTATCTTGTAAGTCGTGGTCTGAAATTAATGATGGCACCAAAATGGATTAGTCCATCTATAAATAAGAATACCTAATGTTATAATAAAATATATACTTTCTATTAAATGTTTAAAAAAAATAGTGTATAATATTGTGAGAAAAAAAGTGCCATAATATAAAGTGTGAGAGAACTTTACAAGAAAAGAAATAATGTTTAAAAATTATCATAATTCCAAGCTAATGAGGGATTAACCAGAGTAGCTTTCTACACTACAATTATACTTTCTACACTACAATGCAATTTACAGTGCGAGTATATAATTTTCAAAATAACAAATATTTCTTATGACATCCTATATCTCTTTCAGTATTTGACTCATTCTAATACCTTGAATATTACAATTCTTATACACAAGTTATATCATTTGGTTAACAAATAAAGAATTTGTTATTTCTATCCGTTAATAAGAGAGAAAAGTATTTTTTATCTATATTTTTAAAATATATTTTTGCTTTTTATCTTTTTTTAATAAAATTAATAAATTATAAATTATCTTCAACATTAAAGTATCTCGTGGGATGTTGTGGTCAAAAGGTAATGAATAATACATAAAGCCAATTTTCCAATGGGCAACCTTCCAAATTATAATCGAGTTCGCTTTGATGAAACTTAGGGGCCGTTTGGTCATGAATCTCATGATTTGAAAGCATGAACAGTGTAGATCCCATGTTCCCCCTAGTCAACAAGAAAATGTAGTAGACTGCCAATTACTGAATCAGATTTAGTTCCCACAAACAAAATATGTAACATCAGCAAAGTGGGCCCAAAGCAAAGCTATTGAATGGACCGTTACAATTACAAAGCTTGCAACACTAGCAGAGCCATTGAATGGACCGTAAAAATTAACTGGAATGGCATGGCATGTGACGCCCCTTTTGGGCGTCACTTGTGACGCCCAAAAGGTGCGTCACGGTGTGCAATAGATCTGTAAATACTCCCCAAACTATTATATTTACGTAACTATTTAATTAAATTGCAATGAATAAATTTTTTTGCCATTAATGGTATGTTATGGTTTGTCTGGTTCTTCGATTATGAATTTTCCTACCCAGAATAGGATTAACAACTCCTATTCTGATGGGTTTTTCTATGCTAATAATAATTATAAAGATTTCATACATAGACTACAAATTCTATATTCTAGGTCAATGGAATAACAATTATTTTTGCTTTCTTCATATATTATGGAATATGTATCCATCCTCAAACTACCGCCAAATTGCATGTAGAGTATGAAGTCAGCATTGTCGTTGCAGCTTCAGGAACTAAAAAATATTCAAAATTTTCAACATTTTTTTCTCCTGCATGAATATTTTACATTACCGTGTTTCATTTTGTTTTTCAAGGTTGTGCTGCTGTAAATTCTTATTATGAATTCGTTTTTTTCACTTAATAAAAGAAATATTATATAATATTCAATGTATATGTTAATATATGCTTATTTAGAATCCACTACTGTATTTTTTATAATCCCATAATGTTTATTCTTTAACATTTACATGTTTATTTCAATGAAGGTCAACATGGAAGATGATTCAATTTGATTATATTGACTTCAGTGATTATTGCATGTCGAATAAAATGGAGTAGAAAATGACATACCGATGAAGTGGAAGATGACATATCAAATGACTTGCCTAATAATAT